TTTGGCCGCACTGTCACCGATGCCTCTTGGCATTTCCACTGGAGCTGGAATTTCTTCCTGTTTGGGAGCTGTATTGGGGGAAGGGGAGTGTGCCGGTCATCTTGTATGTCTTTCGCTAATAGCAAGAACAATAAACGAAAGTAGTCTTTTAATAAAGGGCGGGGTTTGAAATAGTTTCTAGGGGAAAAATTTTCGTGCCTGTTCCTGCTTGTCACTATTCTCACTTCAGTGCTGCTTAGCAGTGTATGTCTATCTGCCTGAATTCTATCTAGCAAGTAGGAGTGGAGGTGGTATCGCTTGTTCACTTAGCGGGTATCGTAGAGAGCTCCGTAACCAACTTTTCCAGATGGTTCAAGGCCACGGAGAGTGTCGCTCGCCTCAATTGGTAGTAGCACTCCTGCATAACACGGGACTGGGTAAGTTGCCGAAGGTTGATTCATTTTCAACCCTTCTATTAGGGGTCGTCACCGATCCTCCCATTCGTCACAATGTTTTAGCTTTCAGGAATGGCAAATCAGGGTTGATGACCCTTAGGATTGGGTTTGTTTTTTGCTGTCACCAATGCAGCCCTCCGAGACTGCCCTGGAGACGAAAGAATGAAAGAAATTTTATTCTCAACATACGAAAGGAATAAGAGGCTACTGCTATGATCCGGAAGCCATGCTCCCACTATAAGTTTGAAAGCGGAGCCTCCAATGCCTACGTTTTTGTCTTTTTTTAAGTTACACGTCTTCCAACTTTTCAAATGAATAATTATCAAGTTTAAAATTTAAAAACTTTTGGATAAAAAAATATTGAAATTTCGCAAGGTGTTACAGACTGGGACATCAGTCCTGTCTGCTTACCCGTGATTTTGTTTTTTATCAGTCGTTCAGAAGCTCGGGGAGTCGCCCATTCTCCAGTTGAAGAGATTAGACAATCTCGGGTGTCAAACTACTGATACACTACCAGTCGCGTGTCGTGAGGAGACAAAACTTCTCTACCTATTTGTGACCTCGGTCGTGTGTAAAACTTTAGATCTTCTCATTAATGTAAGGCAGTTTGAAGCCTTCTCCCCTAGTTTCTTTCTAAGGCCTTTGATCATCCCCTTTCAGCTAGTGATGTGACAGGGGAGGAGAGTGACAACCTGATCATATCTTCCCGCCTCATTTGCAGTATTGCTAGAGCATACATCTTTGGTCTGAGCATGCACCACTGTTCCAAAACATTTCAGCTTCTTTGCTGTGGCATGTCCGAATTGATCTCAAAGGTGGGTCCTACTTGTTTTTCATTTTTGCTAGCATATAAATTCGGTAGGGCATATAGGATGGGATCCTCTGTTGTCTCGCATTTGACGAAAAGACAGTTTGAGTGCAGTAGAGAGTTTTCAGTTAAATTACTACACCTTATTCTGCTGGATACAAGACGTATGCGTCTATTAGTTATTCTCCTTTACAGATGTTTTTTTTTTGGGGGGGGGGGAGGTCAAAAGGTGGTGTGCTCACCACGATGGCTTCAACTTCACCACTTAAAGTACTCTCACCTGCCCCTAACCGCTACTTTTCTCAGAAAAGAGTAATTTCTTCAAGGGTTTCTGTAGGACACTGACAGCCTTATGTTTGGAGAAGAAGAGAAAGACAGGTTTTGATGCTTCGCTGATATGGAAGACGTACCATACCTTCAGCAGACAATGCCTCACTATTTTAACGGAGCTTCTAGGCTATAGTGGCCAAATTTTCTCTGAGGGTCTTGTGATTGATGCCTTAACTCACAATATTTGCCGATAAAAGTAGCTGGTGCTTAAAAGACTGCTCTGATGCGTATCGTGTTTCAGTTCCCACAGTACTTCCTGGACGAGGCGTCGGTTACACACTTCGTGCTTTGTCGGGTGCTACTACCTCATTGTGCCTCTCCGCTGAAAAAAATTAGGAAGATTGCAAATGCTGCTGCATTTCACCTCCTTCAACAGTGCCACCAAGTTTGCGATGTAAGTGGCACTCCTGTCAAATGTTCCCTCCTGGCTGTACCGACCAAAACACAGAACCAGTGCTCACTTTCATATTTAAAGGCGAGAGGGCTAAACAGAAACAATGGTGGTTTGTTCATTTCTTTTCATTCCACATTGAGTCTTGAACGCAACTTATCCAGGAATCATGATACCTCTCAAAGGGGATAATTAGAGACTGCTGAACTGCATGCTCACAGCAACTTTGGATGAGGTTTCAAGGTGTATTTTATTTCTCCAGACACCAATCTAATTGACTTCATGCACTTTTCATAGCATAGCAATCACTTAATGTACTTGAACGGTATTTAACTGTAGCGTCCGCGTCTTTCGTGAAGCCCAACGAAACTGACGCCCAGGAGGGCTGAGAGGCTACCGGCATGGTCCGAAGATCATGCCATCGAGTCAAAGCGCAGTGGCGGAGCCTTAAGTGCCCACCAAACCAAAACGAAGAGTTAAATCAACAATCACAGCATTGCATAACCTCTTCTTTCTTAAGCGTCGTCCCTAGTGATCCTCTTGGTCAAACTCCCTGCGTCAGTCATCACAACGTAGTCGGCGGTGCAAGAAAAACACCCACGAACCAACAGCGCCAGTCATTGAATTTGCGTGCAACTGAGGGGATATTTAGCCGCAACTCCACTGATCCCTCTTCACAATTCTGCTGGATTTGAAGTTTCATCCTGTTTGAGAATTTTATTGATGGGAAGGAGGAAGGTGCAGGCCATCACGCATGTCCATCGCTAGTTGTAAGGACACCGGCCCAAAAGCGCTGTCATTTAATAAGGGATGGGGTTCAAAATACTTTCGTGGGGATGAGGTTTTGCATATGTTCCTCTTTCCACCTTGTTTTCACTTCATTGCTATCCAGCTATATCTGTTTGGGTTCTATCCAGCTAGTAGGGAGGTGGAGGAGGTATCGATCGTTCCCTTAACTGATATTTCAATGCAGGTATCGTAGACAGCTCCGTAACGAACCTTTGCATATAGTTCATGTAATCGACTTTTTACTGATTAAATGTTCCTAGATAACATTTTCTTCAATTTTTGAAGGAATATCTCTAAACAAACTTAAAAGTCGCCTTGGAATTACTCTTGCTCTATTTGTTTCTACAATAATCTCTACAGGATTCGAGTATATACAATTCTGGTAAGGCTAGTACTTCACCATATTTCTAAATTTTAGCACCTGTATCCTGTGAATGGCCAAATGGCCCTGGCTCTACACTCCCTCCTAGCACCCAACGATCTCACTCTTGACACATCATCCTCCCCCTCCTGGTTCGCCCGACGCCTAGGGGTCGTGACTGAGTGTCTCTCCTACCTCACCGAGGCTAGCACTAACCTCTACTGGCACCATCTCCTCTCCCACCTCATCTACGACCGCAGGATTCATGGTGGTCAGGAGGGTGACCCGCTGTTTCCCACACTCGCTCCCCCTCATATTCACTTCCTTTTGGCAAGAGCACATCTTTCGGCTTGCTTTCGGGCGCTCAAAGAATACGCTAAGGCGGATACAAGGGAAGGAGGTGATTTAGGGAGAAATAAAGGTAGTGGAGGTGTGTCATTCAACGGACTACGTTTTGCAATGACGTTTGCAAATACCCAAGCGCCTGATGCTGGATTTCAGGCTCAACTTAATGCATCTGTGGATATTTTGCATGTAAGGAAATCGGAATAACTTTTATTTTAAGCCATTTCTGAAGGAAAATGATAATCTAATTCCATATACTCTACCCAACTTTTTACTGAGTCAATTCTGAAAAAGAACCCAAATATGGCTTTTGGTGTGGACAAAATGTAGGGAACAATTTTTCTCCGGAAAAGAAGCCTTAGAAAGGAAGTTTAGGTCTTTGTACCTGTGATTTGGGTTTTAAATAGTAAAAGTTGGATGTTCGTTCGATTATGTAAGAAAACAAAAGGATTAGCGAAAGATAGAGCAAAGCGGGCTTGAGAAGGTGATACTCAATGCTAAGCAAGAAATAAATCCTTTTTAAAGTTTAAAGGTTTTGGAGACTTTATCAGAGGCAGAAGAAAATTACGTCTGGCAACAATGAGATTGTCTTATTTTTCTCTTTTTGAAAAGGATATATTCACATGCCTCCTTCATTTCAACGATCTCCAAAGACGCTATACCGGCTCCCAGATCGTTGAAAAGGACGACCGAATTTCTGTGGTCGAGTTGCTCGTTGATCTGGCATCTGTATGTCGTCTGCTTCCTGAACTGCGGCAGTACTGGCTTTTGCGTCTTGCAGAGGTCCACTTATTTGTAAGTCCAATTCCTTCACACCACAGCCACTCCATTCACTACCGACCGTGTGCTTCAATACGTGTATGAGAATCGCTATGATCATCTTGGGACTTGTGTAGACGAGGCACACCTGAAATGAGGTACTCATTAAAGACATGTGAAGTGGGCACTTTCATTGGCTTATAGCTCTCAAAACCTTTCCTTATTGTGAATAGCATTCCCATTTCTGTCCAAGCCGTAATCATTGTCTGGCTTGATTCTCATTCAATTTGTTCCCAAGTTAGAACAGTTTTACCAGTAATTCTTCAATTTTTGTTCGGCTTTGCCCCTACTGATTTGGAAATCTATGCATAGTTCAAACAGCCAGCAGAAGCAGCCCAAGCCCTGCTTCACACCCTTGCCATCGATGTGGAACAGATGGTGAGCCGGAAAAGCTCCCCCCTCTTCACCGTCCTAAGCGAAGGCGTTGATTCCATGGCGCGTCAATTGGGATCGCCAAACCTCCTAGAGGAGTCGGCTCTAGAACTGGCCGTTGGACTTCCAGCCTCCACTCCTCTCCCAATCACAGCTGAACGCTCCCTGCAGAAGACCTCTGCAAACGTATTTGTGAAGCGCTTTTACGAGTTGATCGAAAGAATTGCTAAGTGCTTCCATGCGGCCGATCAATCTGAGCAGATTCCATCACTTTGTTACTGGATTCTACCGATTTTGTACTCAACTAGGGAACAAGAGTGTCTCCGTCAGGTGTACGAACTTATTCGGACCTCGCATAGTGCCATATACGAACCTGCCGTAAGTTTTTAGGCTTTTGGCCAACTAACCAATGACTGACTGCCTGACAAACTGACTTATGATGAGAATTGGCCTTGATATTGCAAAGTAAAGCAAATGAGGCGATGGTTGGGGATTCTCAAACGATTCACGCACCACCTAAACTTTTCACAATACTAGCACTACCCACTCCACATCGCCACGTCTCATCCCACCCCAACCCGCATTTTTAAGGCACCTACTACTTCATCCATCCACTGAAGACCACAAATGCTTTGCGTTTGGCGTTAGGAACTGTCCACTTGCTGCAGTCCAAACAACAATTAGGAATGAGATCCATCTCCTCGATATGATACAAAGGGGAGTGTGGAGGCGGACACTCTTCTTTTTCGCCACCTTCTTTCTGATGCCATTTCCCAATTGATGATAATAGCTCTTCTTTGGCTGTACAACTGACGGAAAAGCACACGGGCAGTGAGATAGACGATTGGGAAATAAGAGTAAGGTAGAAACGGAGATGACCTGGCCTAGGTTGTTTTCAAAGTTTCTAGAAGTTGAATGTTTGATTGGAATATAGTCTGCAAGGGTGTGTCTCATCGAAAAGGGATTGGGTTGGTAATTATATCAGTGGACAAGGTACCTGAAGAAGCTTTTCTCTGGTATTTAACCTCTGCAATAAAGAACTACAAGATCTTTGTCACCCTTATCTTTAAGACTGTTGGGTTCAGCGGTACCAACTTGTTCGCATTAGCCTCAATGCACAACTGTGGCAGAGCGCGGAAAGACTGTGGAATAGGGTGGGAACCAAATCACACGGTGAATCGTTTTTATTCAACTTGTTGTGTGAGTTGTTAGTTAAGTGAATTGCCTGCCTTACCAGAAAGTAATAGTGACCGGGACGTCGACGAAATCAGCGCCGGTCAATGGATTCAACAAGAGTGGAAAGATTAAAAAGGGGAAAGCATAATAAAGCATAATAAAGCAATTGACGGTAATGGAGTCATCGACCAGTCTGGGCTTCAGTTTCTCCTTACGTGCGTTTAAGCATCTATGGTTTGTGGATGAACTTTTTCTATTTTGAGAGATGCTTTCACCTTTACTCTTCTCTCCATTAGCGAACAAATCGCCTCTTCAATACATACTTTCGAGTTGGATTTTACGGCCCTCTGTTTGGTGACCAGAATGGCAAGGAGTTCATCTACAAGGAGGCCCCACTGACCAAGCTGGCCGAGATTACCGCCCGTCTTCAGGAGTTTTACTCGCATCAACTTGGTGGCAAACCGGTTGAGATAATTAAGAGCTCCAGTCGAGTTTTTGCTGCAGATCTCGATGAGGCCATTGTAAATCTACCATCTCTGCTTCTGTTTTGAGAAAAGTGCTTCTTGACACTACTTATGCCTTTCTGATGCGGTTATTTAGGCCTACCTGCAGATAACATATGTGGAACCGCACTTTGAGGAATTCGAGCTTCGAAAACGAAGACTCGAGTGTGAAAGAAATTATGGAATTAGTAAGTGATTGGCATTCCTATATTCTTATAATGGAAACTAAATTTATCTATTCCTGGGCGATTGGTTACGATGGCACCGATCAGACGAATTGCCCACCCCCCTCCCCTCTTCATCAATGCTATTCTTTAGTTATCTTAACTTTAGAACGCTTTGTGATGGTGACACCATTCACACAGGCGGGTTTCGCGCATGGTAGCATTTCGGAGCAGTTCAAGAGGAAGGTGATTCTGACGACGTCACGATGCTTTCCCTACTTGAACCTGCGACTCCCGGTCATTGGTCACGAGGAGTTAGTTCTTTCACCCATAGAGGTTGCTATTGAAGATGTCGCAACGCGCAATCAACAGCTAGCACTGGCAATTCACACAGATCCTCCTGATGCAAAATTCCTTCAAATGGTCCTTCAGGTGAGCTGTGCGCCAAAATAATGCAAATCTCCGATGTTTGATCTGTTAAACTACTTATAGCATATCAGCAGTACTGATTTTACTCGTGAAATTTGGAGCACTTCTTGATAAATTAATACAAATTCACGAAATTGAGCATACAGATAAAAACCTCCTAATTGTTCTTGGTCCAAGCCAATTTACTTATTCCTTGCTTTTTAGGCAGCATTTATCTTAGTAGATGAGTCGAAACATATAGGTTTTGGTGGTCAGTTTTCCTCTGAGACTGCAGTGGTAACTGCGAAAACCAACCATGATATTACCTTGAAAAATTGCTTTGCGAATTCCTCAAAATTTGTTACAAGCTTAGAAGATTTTCGCTTACGTTATTTGCTACTTCATACAGTCAAATGTGGTCTTACTATCATTTAATGCATCAAAATAAAAGCTGATCATATACGAAACGGGGCGGCATGAAATTGTAGCCTCGGATCACTCTTTGAAATGGAGGAGTTTGGTTCTTCAGGTGCCACTCTGTCAGTTCAAAAGGTGGTTTGCTGCGACGCTGGCAGGTGATGAGGTCAAATCTTAAATGATGTAAACAAGTTGATTCTGTAACCTCTTAGGAAGTGGTTTAAAACCACGACGATTCACTGTATAGTTATCCTTAAGATCATCATCTTTTGTGATTTGATTACTTCAAATAAGGTATGACCATAGAGGAAGCATACCATCTAGCAATGTAGCTTTGAATGCGTCTTACGGAGCATGAGGTTAGTTGATTGTGGTTGCTAAGAGAGTTTACGGCTGTAGGATGAAACGGCTCTATTTCAGGGCTGCGTGAGCACGACTGTGAATCAGGGACCCCTGGAGGTTGCGGTTGCCTTCTTGAATAAACGGGGCTCCCCTTCTTCGTCAGCGTCCCAAGAGAACCCCGTCATCACTGTATCAGAATCAGATGACGAGCAGCAGAATGAACTCCGGCTCTGTTTGAAGGAGTTTCTGCGCAAGTAAGTTTACTACTTCAACTGCGCTTCACGCTGACAGTTATTTTCTTCCAAGAAGTCATTCATTTAGACTTCACTAAGCTATGTAGATAAACTGTCATTGTCACTGCTTTATTACTGTCTGATAGACTTGATAGAGCTCGTTCAGATATTATCTCAATAAATGAGGTTTAAACAACATGAGTTAAATCCAGAGAGGATAATTTTAGGTTGTGCTAGGTTTTTATTATCCGCTCAATTAGAGTTGACATATCCCTTTCTTTTAAAGGTATCATTAAGGGATTTCGTACAGGTCCTATCACCCCTTCAAGGCACAAACCGTAGATAATGAAGATCACCTGTAGTCGTAGAATCTCCCGAGTTTTGAGTATCGGGTTCCGAGTTTTTGTCTCCACCTAATGTGGACGGATGTTTGATCATTGTCAGCAGCATTTTTGATCTGTTCACAGCCACATGACCGGTTACACATATTTTTGAAGTCCTCGAGAGGCAAGCTATCATAACTTTTTGTCTGTTAGATCGCAAGAGGCGGTGCGAATGAATCGGCAGTTGATTGGTCAAGACCAGGAGGAGTACCAGCGCGAGCTTGAACGCAACTTCGTTCAAATTAAACTGCAAATGGAGCCCTTTTTAAAACCTCCGATATCTTTCCGGGATTTGATAACTGTGTGATCTTTTGCAATTTTTGTTGAAACTTGAATATACCGATTTTGTACTTATTTGACTGCTTACTAACCATTCCGTTTCATTATATCATCCTTATTTGTTCGTTGTTTTAAGGTATGTAATCTTGATTACGTTTTGAAAGTGTGACTGTATGTGAACTTAAATACCACAATGCAAGTCACAGGTTATGGTACTAGTCATAATACCAAGTCAGAATTTGTGGTTGACACCGTACAGGGGATCTGGGGAGGGCTACAGGGACAGCCCGAAGGCAATGCCGCCCAACGAAAGTACAATCGGCGGAGCTTTCAGTGCCCGCTAAATTAAAACTAAGAGTTAACCAAACAGCCATAGGATTACATAGCCCCCTACTCACTTGAGCGTCATCGCTGGTGCTCTGCTTGGTCAACCTCCCTCTTTGGCCACCACAACGTAGTCGGTGCTTTATAAACAAAAACACCCACCAACCAAATGCGCCAGTCATCAAATTTCTATGCAACCGGGAAGATGCTATTCGACTGTAACTTTACTGATCCCTCTTGGCAATTCAAGTGTATCTGGGATTTCGTCCTATATCAGGGGAAGAGGAATCTGTTGGCCACTTTGTATGTCCATTGGCAGTTGCAAGGACACCGGCCCAAAAGTGGAGTCATTTAATAAAGGACAAGTTTTAAATTAGTTTTGTGGGGATAAGGTTTTGTGTCTGTTTTTCCTTGCCACATTGTTATCATTGTTATCTGTCTAAATTCCATTTAGTTAGTAAAGAGGTGGAGGAGGTATTGCGTGTTCACTTAATTGACATCCCTATACAGGTACCGTAGACAGCTCTGTGACGAACTTTTCCAGATGTTTCAGGACCACGGCTAGTGTCCCTCGCCCCAGTTATTGGTAGCATTCTCGGAGAACACCGGGCTGAGGTAGTTGCAGAAGGCTTGCCATTTTCAATCCTCATCTAGCATATGCCCTTCTTCGTCACCTTAAGGTTTCCCATTCAGTAATAGAAATCAGAATAATTGTCTTCCAGAGTCGAGTTCGCTTTCCGCCGTCACCCATGAAGCTCCCCACGATTTCCTTGAAGACAAAAGAAAACATGAAACTAGGGCAAAATTGTGCTGCCGACGTTCAAAAGGGCTGACAAGTTACTGGCGTGGCCTGGAGGCCATGCTACCCATCATGATTACGTTGGCGGAACTTAATTGCCAGAGTAATCAAAACGAGGAGTTAAACAAACATCTAAACTATTGCGTATCCGTGTTGTTTTGTACCTCCAAGGTAACCAATTTACGATAGATTTTTGTAACGGTGAAGGTGCGTGGTCTTAAACGTCACATTTTAAACACGTACTGCTTTCTTTACTGATGTAGCTGGCCTATCATACCCCCAACTCTGACATTAAAAGCTCTTGAGAGACTGCCAAGAGTGTGTATTTCACTAAACCTTGCATTGCTTCCTTTTGAGACTACATTTTGAGGTGTCTATGGTCATCATACCTGATATTTCCCATATCCGTAGGCAGTGCAAAGGGGGAATTTTCTTGTAAATGAAGCCATATGCGCACTTCAGTCCTGGATCCTCAGAGGTGTCCCGAACGTGAATCTGCGTGTGTCGGTAAGTTCAGGTACGCGTACTTATAGTAGCTGATTGACCGTGACCTTCTAGAGGTTATAAGTACACTCAAGGTACACCCCGTCTTTATTTGTGCCAAACTGGAGGGTCTGGGCGAGAACCCGACTCTCCACAAGGTTCCCAGTTTAGACACCACTTGGAATCTCCAGAAAGCCAAAATGAAAAAAAGCGGTACCTCCAGAGCTTAAATGTCGTCGATTTGAGTAGCTTAATTTCGTTAACTAGACCTCTGGTGCTTAAAGACCAGGCGCTACTGAAGTACATCAGTAGGACTTGTCGAAATCGTTTACTAAGTGATTGAATCGCCTTGATTAAAATTGTTTTAATCAAAAGTTTCCTTCCATCTTCTAGACTAATAATTGGCAGCAAATACGCCTTATTTTAAAGCTCACAGATACCATATTCTTTTAAGCTGATAATGGTGAATTTGGATATCACCCTCTACTTTATCAATAAATATCCATTTTACACCCTGTCCGCTGGGTAGAGGCATTAAAGAGAAAGAAAGACAGATATCATCTAAGAAAGGAAATCAACTTCTCTTCGACTCATGCTGGATTGGCATTTAAGTTTGTGTTTAGCAATTCCTTGAACGAATTGCTCCATCAACCTAAATGATCATAAAACGCTCACTCCTCATGACAACTAATGTGCACCTCCTCACTATGGGATGCAGCTATTTATGCTTTTCAATGATTTGTTTGATTGCCTTTACAAATAATTCTATCAAGTAGATAATTGTCTAAGCCTCACTGATTCATAACAGACGGAGATAAGCGGTTTCCTTTGACTTCCTTTTACACCGCCTTCTAATATAACCTAAAGGGACTGTTGCGTTCGTAGTCATCCATTCAACGGACAGAAGATCCCAGCATTGCGTGATTCTGCGCACAAGAGGCTGTGTTAGAGAATTTGGCCTGTTCGCTTCATAGTGCCTTTTTTTTCTTTCCATTTTCACAAATGCTAAATGCAAGAACTACGCACTTACGTCTACACAATCACAGAATTCGGGTATGGTGGATTAACAGTTGGATTCCACATAAGGTTTGCTTTCATTCTGCAGAGTTCATTCCCAGAAAGCAAATCATGTTTCTTCCAAATGTAAAGTGATAGCAATGCAAATTTTTACCTCCAGCCAAAAATGCCCAGGCGTCTCTGGAGGAAAACTTCGCAGTTCAGTTGGTTCTTCCATAGGACTCAGTGTCTCGTTTTAGGCTAATCAAGTGGATTCAAAGAGGTAAAAATAACTTTTTTCGTGGTCAGTTATTCTAGCTTTCAAATTATTACTATAAATTTTCATAAAGATACTTGATTCACTGTGACAGGTTTGGCTTTCCTCTCTTCCACCTCCAGACTCTATACCCTTAAAACGAGCAGACAGGATGGACAAGAGCATCCTTTATTGGGTAGTAATGATATAAGGAGTACAGATATCATAGTTGTGGGTGTTTAGTGCTTTTAATCCTCTTTGGGGCTCAATAGTGCCGGACTATCTCTCGACTAGCCATCTACCGCTTCGAGATCCTAGAAGTGTGTCCAGTGTTATTGTAAATAGTCTTCCCTTATATCTAACAACTTAGGTGATTTTTATGATACTATTCTGTCTGCAATGCACGATTTGGTGAAATAGCATATTTTTCATAAAACAAAGAAGACGCGTCACAATTATGTGACGCTGGTAGCAATGGCCATTTTCGTATTTGACGTGTTTAACAATTCACTTTCGGAAGTTGTGCTATTGCGGCAAGGTGGTTTTTCTTCCCAGACAAAGAATAGCTGACGTAAATCATTTTGGCTGCAATAGTCGATTTGACGCAACCACTAACCTATCATAAAGCAATGAAGAAGGCGTGTGGCATATGTGTGACGACTGTAGCAAAGTACTTAACTGTACACTTTTGCAAGAAGGTTCATGCTTTCCTCTATACTACTTGCTAATTCTAGGATGATGCTGTTGAGTTCACCAACTCTCGAAATCTTTAGGTCAAGAGCACTCATATTTCACACATCCGCTTGCGTACAAAAACATACACGTACACACACACTTCGCCATTTCACTTGTATCAAATTCTGTTCTTCATGCACACATCACGTTGAAGGAGAGAGTTCATCATGAGAGCGCCACAAGACATCCGCCTGACGCTCACACCTTTGAGTATGGCCCTCCGATGACTGCGCTGTATTCTCTTTCATTCGTGTCACACACACACGCACTCACACACATCGGCACGCACTTTTTGCATGCCTACAATTTGTCATCTGGCCTCTTCCGAGGGTCACTTCCTGTTCGCCTGCCTGCCTCCTGTACATCAGTCGCACACTTGCATCCCAGTTCGGTCGCATCTACGAATAAGTAAAAGAAACCCTCTTCTGACTATCTATTGCTGTGAATTCCAGACTAAAATTGAAATTCTTTGCGTTCTATCGTAACGGTTTACTAAATACCAACTAAAAAGCCTTCGTTAAGGAACATTTTAAGACATTTTGCTTTGCCTCGTCGGTATACCAAACGTGAGCTCACTTTTAGGCGTTGCAAATCCACCTGAAAGATTTATTGTGTTCACTGTTCTCACGGAAAGATTTGTCTCTTTCACACCATCGACTCGTGACAGGTAGTGCATCAATCTGACGTCTGGGAAGAGGCGCTTCATCAGCTGATTTGATTGTAGGGTGAGTTGTTGGCTGCAGAATAGGAACAGGCTCATCACAGCCGAGGCCGTTTTCATTCGCGTCACTCCAAGGTTTTACTGTGGATGAGCTTCTCAGCGCCTTATCACTGCTCCGTGTTTGAAGTCTTCGGTACAAAGGGGCAGCTAAAGTTTTGCGTCTTTCCGAATAGATGCGATACCAGCGTTTTTGCCATCTTGATTAAAAGCGTCTGGGCTCGGGTGATTCTCTTTGCACTGGCTATCCATGAGAGGGCATAGTTTCAACCTACTGCCATCAAGGTAACACCCTCTTTATTCCTGCAAAGACAGAAGTCTAGGTTTGACTTAACTTTGAGATTTCAATCAAGATGTTAATAGAAAAATGGGGGAGTACTAGCTTGTTTCCTATTGAGGTTTCTCTCGATTTCGAGAGTATAAGCCCATGCAAGTGAGTTGCAAAATGAAAAGTAGGTACAGGTCATGCCTAGGTGGTAAATGAAGCTTCTTAATTTTAACTGTTTTCCTAGTGAGTTTAGGCTAATCTCGACTTCTAATTTGGAATTGACATTTCGAGTGTCCCAATGCAATTGGAGATCACATAAATGACAGGTCAGTAATTTAATTTGATATTGGTAAGGGAGCTGAAAGAAATTGACACCTTCAGTTGAATCTCCATAAAATAGTAATTTTTGTACAGTCAGAAAATAATTCGAGTTAATCATGGATCCTGTTGCTTTTCGTCGACCTCACAATTACTCCCTTATTCCTCAAGGCATATGAGTCTCTTTCGAGCACTGCATTAACAACTTACGATATCTGGAGGATCTAATGGAAGCAACTCACACCAGCTTGTACATTCGAGTCGATTCGGACGTCATCTTAATTGCTATGGAAAGGTATTAACAGCGGGTGTAAGTGATACTGATTCCTATCTGCGAGCAAGGGCTGAAAGACCGAACTGAAGGTAACAATCGAGGCGGGGGGTGGGGCGAAAGGAGGAGCGGAGAGAAGAGGGTGGGCGAGGTGGTGAGTTGTGACGAGGCTGTTAGGGCGATTTTCTAGCGAAACATGACAAACGGTCTCACACTCCACAGCCCTCTAATCAGTGATGATTGCTGTATTCTCTGTCCGCAGTAATTAGAGACCTACTGCCTCACTAGCAATGACCTCTTCCTTCTTGCTTGTAATTCCAATGGGCATCGAGTTCAGTGTCTCCCCAGGTGTTAGCAGATACAAGTTTTAAAGGAATCAGCCTACCATATTACAAGAATATTTCTTTTTAAGTGGGTAGGAAATCAAACGTCGTGATTCTAGAAGGCGAAAGCGGCTTCTTGACGCTGTCTCAAAAGGGAACGCCTTCAAAAACGTTTTAGTGAAAACCCGATTCCTGGAAGATATTCGCTTAGCATCAAAGTGTCTGTGAAGCAAGATTTATATGGACAGTTTAAATAAAAATAAATATTTATTATTGAAATCTATGATCCGAGCAAGAAGTGGGTGTAGAAAAATAAGTCTGTTTGTTTCACCTTTCATACCCAAACAGAAGGTTCTCACGAGAGGATAGTCTACGACCAATGGGATTTAAAGCACCATTTCGGCTATAGAGGATTAAAACTATTCTACTTAATCAAGGTGATTACTTATATTTGATCTTTGAAACTTTTTTCAAAATTCCAATCTTAATCCTCAAGTCTGCCAAAGCCTTGCCACTCTTCGAGGCATCCTTGAGCAATGCTGCAGCAGGCCTTCAAGGATTCTGGACAATGCTCTTCAGATGT